TCCTCACAAAGCCTTTTGCAGAGGAAAGCTTTTATTTTGTATTGATAAAGAGCTAAGTTTAGGAAGTCTAACAAGACTTTCTGAAAGTACAGCTCTACAAACCTCAAAGTAAATCACTACTTGTGTTTTAGAATTCTTAAAATATTCACGTCCCTCTATGTTTTCTTAGAATTCCCTGGGAGCTTTGAGAGGAGAGGGCTTTTTAAATTTATTTTTAGGATCAGCTTTATCAATTTTAGACCTAAGAAATGTATTACACAACTGAGTCCAATGGTCAGGCAGGCTAAGCTCGTGACAAAGTAAAACAGGAACAGAAGGCTCTCTCTATTGATATGAAGGCATATTTTTTTTATTTTATTCATCCAACCTTTGAAGAAACAATTATTCATCAAGAAAACCATTTTAATAATGAAGTTAATACAAATAAAGTCAAAGAGGAAACATTCACCTGAGTAGTCTTAAAGGTGTTTTTTCTTTCCTTCATCACACAGCAATCTAAAAGAATTTAAGAATCAGAGATTTCTATTCAGGATGCACTTTGTGCAGTAATAACTTCAAATATCAAAGTATTACTGCTTACAAATCAGTAATTTAAATTTAAAGCCACAGCTAAAGATGTGGTGCTGTACCAAACCATATTTTTCATTCCACTTTTCCACTTGAGCTACCTTAAGTATCATCCAACGAGAGAAGTGCACCTGAGTGCTGGCACATTCACAAAAACCATCTGAGTACTAATGCAGCCTTCAACACTTCCAAGTCACAGAGGCAAAAATGCTTCTGGTAGCTTGTCTAGAGAACCAGAAATATTTTCCAGGTCACTGTTCTTCTTCCCTTGCTACCTTCACACAGGACTTCTGCTGCAATATTTATTGCACTCGTGCTGCTCTTTGGCCCATCAGGCAGCTCAGCACTGCAGCTGCAAAACCCACCTGCTACTCCCAGGCAGTTTTGGTTTTGCCACCTCTCCATCCCATCACTCCTGGTGAAGAGGATTTGCTCAGTCTGCTGGAAAGGTTTGTCTCCCCTCTGCCTTTTTGCAACACTGCAAATGAGAATCCCGGGTGGCTCCTGCTAATTACCCATGTGCATTGGGAGTCTAATTCTTCCTATTGTTAATACACCCATCTTTAGCCACAAAGTCACTTCACATGCTAATCAGAGAGCAGCTGATCCCAAGCTAGTATTTCATATACTCAGGAGAATGGATCTGCTGGGGGTATTAATGACAGCAGAGCAAGAGGAGCTTGGAAAATAGTTCCCAAAAGATATTGTATCACTTCTAGTTCAACCCCCTAACAAATAATCTGCTTGTGAATGTGGAGCTTTGTCCCTTCCCTCCCTTGCAGAGGGAGGCCACTTTACAGACAAGAGGAGACAGAAAAAATTAGATTTTGTCTTTTACAATGCTGGAATCTAATACAATAGCTGTTAAGTCTTACCTAATTTTTCCATGTAAAAGTTTTTGTGTTAATGGGATACTTGAAACATCAGTTTCAACCCAAAATCAAGAGGAGCATTTCTACAAATATTTAATAGTCCAGGACACTACTCAGTCCTGCCTCTGAGAGCAACATAAAATAACTTGGGAAATTTCTGTGTTCCCCAAAATATGTCACCCCTTCAGCCTGATCTGTGGAAAAAGCTGTGGCAACACAATGAAAAAAATCATCATGCAAGTGTTTGAGGTAGAACAAGGTCTGAGAATGCCTTGAGCTGACACTGCTTCCACAGAGCACATTTATGGTCAGAGTGGATGTGACATTCCTCCTGAATCTCCATCAAAATGTCAAGTCAGGACAGCAGAACATGCCATGTCCCACATAAAATCCACACTGCAAGGATTTCTCATCATGGCTTTTTGCCTATAAAACAACTCAACGTTTCCACTTGGTTAACAGTGTGTTCCAAGTCACTTTGAAGGTGCTTATGTGCAACATTGGGAACAACCCTGTACATCCCAAAAGACAACAATCAGCACAGTTTCCACAGCCTGCAGCAGTGCCCAGTGTGAGTCCTCATTTCAAGAGCAATTTGCTCAATGGCAATATAGAAGATTCAAGTCAAGTTACCTGCACTATCTTCTTACTAGCTGGAAGAAGTATCTATGAGATGGAAACACACAGCATTTTAAAGAGAACCAAGGAAAATTTATGGATTTCTGTAAAGGTTTTTTCCTCATTTTTCTGAGGATGTGAACAAGAAGTTCCTCTTTCAATGGCTTTCAAATTGTCACCCAAGTAGAAAATTCAAAAGCTGTGAGTTTTGCACATAATTTCCTCTAGTGAACTACCAGTTCAAGTCTCCATTATAAGATATTCATCTCATGTCTGAGTATTCTTCAATTTTAATTCGTGGTGCTGATCAAAGACAAAAGATCCTGCAGCTGTACAAAAGTTCCAACAGCTCAGAAAGCAGCAGACACATCCAGCTGTTTTGAGAAGCACCATGAGATTGCTACAAATCTGGGATTAAAAAATTCCTTTCATGTACCCAGAATGCTCAGCTATAGAGTAAATATCCACCCATAAATGAGTGTCATACTTTTAATACAGATGTGACAGGCAACTGCAACAAACATAATGTACCACCTAAGTGTGTTTTAGATACAGAGAACATCAAGTTTAATGTATTTTATTGTCAGGGCTCAAAATCATATGCAAATCCTTCACATACAAGTTATGTACATCCTTTCAAGGCCACACCTGCACAGGTTTCAGTCTGCTGTCCCATGTATTTTAGTTATAACACTGATACACTTGTCTTACACAACGGCTGAAACAAAAGTTGGCACAACCACCAGTCCAGGTCATGGCAGAGCAGCAAAATGTACAACACCCTGGTGATATCCATGGATCTCTGGGGGTAGAATAGAAAGCCACAAACCTCCCCCTGGTTTTCCTTTTAAAACAGCTTTGACAAGAGCATTTTATGCATAAAAGGCAGCTGGTTATGTTTTAACAGACTCTTGTGTAAACAGAAGTGCTCAACAGATGTGCAGCGCCTATCAGAGATGGTTATCAGCATCATTTTCATTTCCAGAACCAATAAAACTGGACATCATGCCTATTCTCTGAGTCATTTACCTACCTCAGAAGATAAACTGGATTGACTAATATCTGCTATGGGATTGGTAAAACACCTGATGTCAAAAGAACTGAGTATTAGAAAAAGAGAGAAACGAGAATGTCCAGCTACTGCAGCATTTCAGTCTGCAAATAGGCTCTTCACTGATCTGAAACTGCAAACAGACAAGTCAAAGTGAGGGGAGGGAAGGCAAAAAGACTCTGAAGCAGATTTATATTTAGCAGCAGGTTAGGTGAAGAGAAAAGGCTCAAGGACAATGGCAGGTCTTTTCTTCCTTGAGCTAAACCCCCAATGCATTTTTGTGAAAGAAAGCAAGTCTTCTGCTTTTAACTGCAGCCCAAAACTGCATTATATCTCCTGGGTGCTTTGATTTTTTTTTTTTCTTTCCTTTCTAAATCTCAGCACACAGGCAGCTCCAGGGCTCAGTAGGAGAAACTCTTAAAAGGAGGCCTGCAGAAGTGAAGACATCAGTCATTCCCTTGTCCCCGTATTCCTGGAGCTCCCCCGCCCAGGCAGCCGTGGATGAGATTTCACACAACCAGTCATGGCCTTTTTAAAGATTTAAAATCCTCCAAGAGAAAGCAGAGCATTCCTTCTGATTGCAAAGAGAAACACTGAAATGTGCTTCAATTCTTCACAAAGGTCATGGTAACCTTCAAAATTCTATCAAACTTCTTCCCCCCCCAGCTCTATTATCTTTAGTAATTTGTAACTTTCTTTACAAAATATACTGGAGTTTCTCAGAACACAAATCCCTATGTGAACATGATGCAAGCAATCTTTGCTTAGTTAATTTTTCCTAGGCTGCTTGAAGTTTCCAAAGTCCAGATGTTTTTCCAACTGTCTTCCCTGTCCCACGACTGCAAAAATATAGGTCCTTTCTTTAGAATGACCATTTTATATACATTTTCAATTTACTCTGTGCTTCTCAGTCCATTTTTTCCAAATAAACAAACACATACTTCAGATTAAATGACTTACTGTGTTAGAAACATGACATTAGAAAGATTTAGAAAGAATGTTCAGTGTATTTTGACAAATGCAAACATGCTGAAAGCGTGACACATTCCATGAAACAGTACAGAGCTTTAAATCTGTGGAAAAAAATTCAGTTTCCTACTTGCAATGCTATGGCTACACCTCCAACCCTGTACCAACCATTAACCATTATGTTCAACCTTCACCATTAAAATGTTACTGTGCATTTAACAGCGTAGGAAAACACCTGATAATCTTAATTAGAACTTGTCAGGGAGCTGATTTTAACCCCCTGCTACTCCAACCTAAATCAGCAGGGAAAAAAATGGAAGAACTGTAAATTTTTATCACCTTTACCCAAATACTGTCCAGCTAGAAGCAGATGCCCACATTTCAGAGCATTCTTTGCTCCAGACCAGTGAACTCTTAAGTATTAAACCTTTGAGATGCATTTCAAACCTGCCATTTGACACCACTGGAGAAAAAAAATCACTTTTCAGAGTTCATATGAAATTGAAGAGATCCCATTTAGAGTGTAAAACATGAAATAGGAACGTGCTGCTTCTGCTAAACCAGATTTACCAGTAGACTGCTTTGGTTAAGGATGCACCAGCTACAGGATTTCCCTTCACATCCCTGCAAGGGATCTCTGATGAAGGCTGAGTTGAGATAGCATCAGTGATTTCTCATTACAAACATATTGTCAAAGACAGGATTGTGTTTTGTAGCTGTTACACAGCTCAATCATCAGCAGTACCTGAAGTGACAGAGCAGATATCCTTCCTCAGCGAGAGAAAAGGCAGTGTAAAACAAAGTGATTTTGTTATACTAAAGCTTACAGAAATCCACTACAATTAACAATGGAAAAACACCACAGATTTTTGAAGACACAAATCAGTGACAATTTGGCTCCAGAAAGGATTTCTGCAACTCACCTATGGTGCAGTTTGTAGTTATTTTTCTTCGCTTGGGGTTGTGTCGTAGCAATTCTAACTCTCTCTTGGTCGGCTCCCATGTTGAATACTTCTCTCCAATGCCTAAGCAGATGAAAACAAAGTTTCAGGAAGTTCTTTAGTAAAAGGATTAAAAATTCTCTTCAAGTCAAAACTTTCAACATGCTGTCCATTAGGTTAGATTCAATTTATGCACAACTTCAGGACACTGATTGCTTTTTACCCCTTCTCAAAAAATATGGTTCAGAAAGGTATTATGAAATTTTCCAACAAAGATCTAACCTAAGAAAGATATTTCTTTACTTATAAAGAACATCTAGGCAAATAAACTTTCCATTAGTGGATTATAATCCTCCTTTCAGTTTAAAAAAAAGGTAAAATTCCAGCACAAGAATAAACTTGCTATTACTCAAAAATACATTTCTTTGTGCTCAGAGGTTAAATGACAGAAGCAGCATTGATGAACTTGACAAGTTATTAAATAAATCTAAACGGATCCAGCTTAATGGACAGATAGTCTTTAGAGAACAGAAGAATTTAATAATTCAATATACTAAACAGCTACTACATGTCTTAGGATATGCCATTACACAGAATGTAATGACCTCTCCATATACCATTAATGCAGGATTAGACAAGTTTTAATTTTTGACATTCACTTTGCTGACATATCTAATGTTACCTAAAAATGAAATTAGTAGTAGGTTTAAACACCACCCTCCCTCCACCAACCAGCCAAAACTTCCAAATATTAAACTACCCTTTCTCATGAACTAAAATCTGTCATTATTCTCTTTGAAGAGCAACACTGCATTTCCAGTAGATCTCTTTTGCTCAAAGGAAAGTGCAGTAGAAATGAGTCAGGTCAGTAGTATGGAGGCCAGATTTGAAATCAGCACAGAGCTGTGTTCAGTGTAAACCTGATACAAGGAAAACACAACAGTGAAGACTCACGTGCTGACCAGCTCAATACTGCTGCAGCTTTCTGTGTAGCACAGAAATTGCTGTGCAAGGTCAATTATTGTGAGTCACAAAGGCATTAAAAATAAAGAATTATAAGATGGCAAGCAGTCTATTCTATAACTGAGAATTAAAGTCAATTAAGAGTTATTTTTCACAGAATGCATGGAGCAGAAGCAACGCTTTGCTACAGAAAATAAATTATAGATCATACATATGAAAAGGATAGTAGAAAAATATAGCTGGAGGCTTACACATTCTGCATAATATACATTAAATTTTAATAGCTCTTTGATCTTCATTTTCAGAAATAGCTATGCTTGTCAGAAGCTACCCTCCCAAAATGTTCAATTCATAGTTACTATTGACCCTCCAGGTTCTAGTAATAGAAGGTCTCATTTTTGGATTCTCGAGGTCTAGAGAATTCTTATTTACACAAATACACCCATCTCTCACTTTATTTGAATCAACAACAGATTATGCAAGGAGCTTAAGGAACAATACCAGAATCCCTTTCCTTTATCCAAGGTTCAGCATCAAGCTACACACCCAGGAAAACAGAAAAGGCAGGGAATGACTGAGACTGATGAGATAACACAGCTGCAATGCTTTGGACACACTGCACGTCTGCAGAGACCCTTTGGAGACACACAGATGGACACTTGACAGAGGATGGAACATTGGCTTCCAACAGGTTTGGCACTGGATGTCTCCAGCAACCCTGGTCATATTTGTAATGTTCCCTTAGGAATTTATATAAATTCATTGGTAACACTGTGTTAGTAGCAGCAATTGCATTGTGCAGCTGTAAATTCCTGTGTTTGGGTTCACTGCAGTTAAAACATGGCCAAACACAGTCAGTGTGATGAACTCTGATAATAATTTAAAGATACCCCCTTGGATATGTTTAAATCCTGGTTTAAGTTAAACACAATAAAATTCATACCTGGAAATACATGTGCACTTTAGGCATGCAATAGCTCCACATATATCAGCAGCACTATTCATATATATTTATATAGATCTATATATAATTATATAATTTAAATGCTGTAGAGGATGGGGACCAAAGCATGTCACAAGAGTAACTCTAAGTATGGTTAAATATGACAGACTGGATTTTTTTAAGGATTCTTGGTGAATCAAATATTTGTTCAATTAAAAAGAAATCAAAGGAAACAAAAAACCATGTGCAATTAATGCCACAAACAAAGCAAACCAGACAGAAAACGTTCTTGCAGAAGCCTTTCATTAGAAGGAGCACAAGTTAAGTCAGACACAGAAATTAAAACGTGTTCTGTTCCAGCTGCATAACTTAGCAGGAATGCTGAGGTTATATTACTCTTGAAAAGTTGGAAAAGGCAGAGTTATTTTTAAGTAATGGTTTGATGTTTAAAAACTAAAAACAATAACAAAAAAAAACAACCAAAAGACAAAGAAGGAAAGAGGTTTAATAAAAAGGTTTAATAACACTCACAAGCATGCCAAAAACTCCAATATAAACTACCTTAAACAAAGATTTGCAAACCATGCATAGGTCACTATTTACAAGTAAAGGAAAGTAGTGTTAGAGAAGTGAAAATTAGTCACTTTTAAAATGCTGCTATAAAATAGCCAGAGATTCAAGTCAGCATGTGAAATCTCCATCTAGGAAATTATTTTACTGGGTGAAATACTCAAATTGGCATTTCTCAGAGAATTCATCAGGGGCATAGGGATGAGTGAAGGAAAAGGCAATGAAGGCTCTAGTTTATAATAGTCACAATTTTTCAATCATTTGTTTACATTGCTAAACTTCAGCAAATTCCAATTTTTCCCCTCCCAAAAATTCAGACACCAATTAAAATGAAGGGCTCTGTGTATTCTCACCTCCCCTGTTATTAATATTCAATATCAAAGGAAAAAAACACTGGCCAGGTTGCAACTTGTTCAGAGTTATATCACATAACCCTGAACTACAGCTGGACTGGGGACCTCAGCACACTGGGAGTTAATACTACAGGAGTATGAAATGAATCTCATGAGATTTGGGGGTTTTCTTAAAGTTCTTTTTCTCCAGGCATCATGTTGTTATGTGAGCTTCTATTAAAGTATGAACTAACACCCTTCAAGCACTATGGAGAGAAATTTGAAAATCACTGCATTTACCCTTCAGTTTCTAAGCCAATCAGTTTCTGCAAACTGGATTCACTTCTAAAGTTAAGTTGGCAGCAAGATCTGAGGTTAATTAACTTTGTGGTAGCAATAGAAACCCAAAACACTGAGTTTGGGGTTTGTGCTCCTTTTGACAGTCGGTTTGGAGCAAGAAGGGATCATTCATGAAACAACAGGGAGGGAGCACATGGATTGGAACAACGGAGAGAGAAGGAAAAACCCAGACATAATTCTCTATTATTTCTCCATGGTACATTTCTCATTCCTTAGATAAGTTTTTGAGGAAACACATAGTTTCATGATAAGACATAAAAGAGAACCTATACCATGACTTAAAAGAAAAAAAAGTCTACATTGCAGACTCTGATAATTTAGTGTTGTCTATTCCTAGATTTTCTGTTTTCACTGGTCACTACAGATTAGCTCTCCAGGGACAGAAGATGCAATGTGCATATTCATACAAATATGCATTTGTGTATATATATTTAATGTGCCATTCATTAGTCAGTTAATCAGTACAGAGGCTTCCTGCCTGGCAGCTCCTCTGGGTGATTCTTCAACCTTCTCTGCACAACTCTGTGGTCCAAGATGACCAGAGGAACAATCTTATAGCTGGAATTCCCTGGAATACAAACTACAGCAGGCTGATGTTCACAGCAGGACAAAGTGTCTGCATCTCAGCCCACGAGGTACAAATGCATCAATTAGTAAGAACAACACAACTAAGAAATTACATTTTAAATCTGCATATTTAAAAGTAAGGAATTGGGGGATGTTTCCTGTTCCATAGAATAATGAAGATGTTATGTTGTTGCAGTTGATTAATTTGGTGCCCCAAACACAGATTGAAGGAGTTTCCTGAGTAAGTGCAGAGCTTGAATGAACGATTTTTAAACATATTCCCATTTTGTCTTGCTTTGAAAACCATTTTAAGGTGTCTCTCCCTTTTCCAGGACTCACTATCCTTCTTTCCTCTGACTCCCTTCCCTCAAACAGGGAAGAAGCAGGAAGCAGACTGGGATCTGTAGTAGGAACCAAGTAAAGGCAGCTATCTTTTGAGCCAGCAGAAAAGCTCTTGTTAATACGATGTTAGCTGCTATTTTTAAAATTGGAAATGAGGTTAAGAATGGTTTGAAGTCATATCAGCCCTGACTAAGGCTGCCACATTGAAACAGGATGCCATGGATTCCAGAAGAGACATTACTAGACAGAAGTCATCTGTCTTCAAATACAGACTTCCCCACTTTAAGAAAACATAACCCCCAGAAGCCTCTGGATATGGAAGATGACAAGCTTTTAAAACTGATGCTTACAAACTGTTCAGTTTAGAATAAATGATATCTCCTTTCCAAACAAAAAAAACAAAACCCAAACCAAACTAAAAATAACAAAAAAAAAAAAAAGAAAAAAAAATGTTTGTCTTGGAGGAATTCTATAAAGGAAAGGGCATATGAAATCAAGTCTGCTGCAATTATTCAATCATTGGAACATATCCAAACAAGAGGAAAATGATTTGCACGATAAAACTGGCATTCTTAACTGTGATTCATGTCTAAAATGGCAGGATAATCAGCAAAGGGACGCTTGTTAGTGAGGTGCGTCGCCAGCCCACGCCTCTTACCTGTCATTGTACACTGGTAGTGAGAAACCACTGTTGGGGTGAAGGCTAAAAAAGAAAAAATTAGGGAAAGCAAACTGAATAAAACAAATGTGTGTACATATATTTGTGTGTAAATATTTCTACATAGATACTGTGCGTGTACCATGAAAGCACAGGTGTGTAAGTAAGCTGGCATGATCTATTTAAAAAAAAAGTTTTAAAAAAAAAAATAAATCACACACAAGGGTGGCATTTCATGTGAGGGGAACAAATTTATTGCCTGTACCACGTAAATAAGCCTAAAGGAGCAGACTGTTACATTCTCTACCTAATACAGATCTAACTTTTGATATTATGCAAGTTTTGCAGGACTAATATTAGATATTTCTATAATTTTTTTTTGCAATTAAAATATTTTTGCTACAATTAGGTGTGGCTCACGTGTTAAATTCACAGTCTGACTCCTGGAAAGCAAGAACTAACATCTCTCTCCCGTGGCCTGCACTACTCTCTTCTAAAGAGTTCTTTCTTCCCCTTAGTGCTTTTTTTTGCCACTGAACAAATGGGAGGGACAGGTATGATTAAAAACAGAAACAAGAAATTCAGGCAGGAAAACCAAACCTTGTAATTTCCAAGCTTTTCGTTGTTCTTCTTTGGCAATTTGTTCCATGTCTTTGTCGTATATGTAATCTTGACACATAAAGCAGTATATACCCCCATACAAAAGGTCTATGGCTGCAAAACAGAAGGGAAGTTGGGGAGGAGGAAAAAAAGATGTGAGTTCATAAACCAGAAGGCATTTTAAAGCAGGCTTCCAAGTCAGGCACTCCTTCTTCCAAGCAGTCCACAAAAGAAGAAAAATCTGTACCTTAGAATCTGGAAGGGGAAAAAAAATAAAAAGAGAAAAGCGCAGACATTTTTCCACTTTCAGTGTGAGTTATTCAGTTGCTTCTGGCACAGCAAGAAAACTGTGCAGGACAACAAAGCATCAGCTGCCTTCAAGCTGTTTGTGATCTACAATTCACCTTTCAGACACCTCAGTTACCCAGAGGCATCAGGACAGTAAGTGACTACAACACACACAGAACCAGCCCTGTAAGAGTTCATGTATGAGTTTGAACTGTCTTTTCCTAAGACTTCAGCAATTTCTCTTCAAGGCCATTAAAATATTCAGAAAGCACCTGGTTAAAATCCAAAAGAAGGCTCAAACAGAAGACAGCACTGCAGATTTAAAGCTCTTTCTCCAGGGGAAAAGTTTTCCAGGGTAGTTTATTTCACAGGTTACTTCTGTCTCAATTTGTCATTTCACACACCCTTTCAGAACAAACAAATGAACGCTGACCAACGTTAAAAATATTTTTCTTGCACAACCTTAAACAAAAGAAAGCCAAGAACCAAAATAAATACCTACTGGGAAATTTTACTCCAACATATACCACAGATAAAGTGCAAAGTAATCATAGTAAATTGCTGATTTTCAGTATGTAGATAAGAAAAAAAAAAAAATCACAATCATAGGAAAGTTAAAAAACAGTGGGCACTAACACATTTTACTAAAACATAACCTGCACCAGCAAACAGCTAAGAAACACATCACCCTTCTCCCTTTTGTTTTTAATTCCTTTTATTTCCAGAAAACTAGCATTATTAGAATAGTCTTACTGCAATGGAAACTTGTTTTAAACACAGGAAGCCATTACCACATTAGGTGGCCTGCAAGGAACAGCACTGAATTACTCTGGAGTGCTCAATAAGCCAAAGCACATGGCATGCAGCAGGAATTCTGCCATGGATCTCAGCAGGCAAACACAGGTGAAGTCTCTCACAGGTGCTGCCCTGTTAGTGGGGCAGTGCTTGTGCTGAGGTTTTTTTTGGTAAAGTTCCTTTCTAATCCCATCTCCTCCATCCTTCACAGCCTCTACCCCCTCACAATTTGCTGTCCCTCTCCTTTGGTCCATTGCAAGCTGTTTTTTCCCCTCCTTCTCTTTTAAAATAACTTTTTCAATGATTATGCCAATTGTTTGTTACTTCTCCTATTATTCAACAAACCCTATTACTTCAGACAGTTTTTTTTACCTTGCTGATGTGCTCCATTCTTCTGTTTTGCCTGTTTGGATCACACTCGGTTTGTGGAAGAAGGTAAGGACTGTGTTACCTCATGTAAGGTCACAAACTCAGAATTTTCATGAGCTTGTGTAATGTCCCAACATCAGAATATTTCACTCTGATGCCCAGAGGACTGAATAAACTCCTGTAGCAGAATACTCCAAAAGAGAAGACTGAGCTGTGCTAGAGGATGAGTAATAAAACACTATGAAACTGGGGGGGTGGTATATCACAACTTACAGAGTATAGAGTTATACAATATTTACTCCATTATTTACTCCATTACCAGTTCTGCAGTTTTCTACAAAAAAAGCTGTTGAAAATCCAAAGTAGTGGTCTTAAAACACAAACTCAAATATTGTTCTCCACATGCTTTTAAAACATCCCATGAGCAGATCCCCAAATAACAGAACAATACTATTGAATAAACAGGACTCTGAGCACTAATAGTTACAATTTACCATCAGAATGTGTGGGCACAGCTATGCTCAAAGGATTCTTTACTTTTCCTTTCTTCCTGGATTTACATGCCTGAGCAATGAAATAGAGATGTCAAGATCTAAACCAACAAGAGACCACCTTCCACAAACCACTTGTTCAGAGCAGAAGGAATTTCTGGTGTAAAGGATCAGAAAGTTTCACAGAAACACCAGCAGAGTTAAAGCCATAATTGTCCAGTACCTGATTAAGGACTCTTGAGGAAATATCCTCTCTCCAGCACACTTATGGGAACAATGCAGTTGTACATTTGCCAACACTTCCAATGTCTTTTTAATGACTGCAAGGGGTTTTGGACAAATTACCTCAAGCACCAGTGACAAGGCAGCCACACAGGGCTGGCCACAGCATGGAGCAAGGGCAGGAGTTTCTCACAGAGCTGGAACACGGCTGCTCAGGAAAAGAGTCCACTAGGAAAGTTTGGAAGTTAATTGTTTCAGGTTAATATAATTTGATTTTTTTTTCCTTGAAATACACTTAAACTTTCTCATGGTGGTTGTGTTGAGGTGAAGAAGAACAAAGGAACCACTGAAGGGACTGCTGTACTGACAGAAACTCTTCCCATGTGAGCAATTCCTTAGCACTGACTGAAGTTACACCACACCCAAAGGACAAAGTCCACACAAAACTTTCTCCCTTAAGGACTGGGGGGAATGAAACAAATTTCATCTCACTCTTAGGTTAAACTTTTTTTGTTTTAAACTGAAGTGCCATGAAGCTCTACCCCAAATTGAAACAACTGGCCAGAAAATTCCATAGAAAACATGGAATGACTGCAAAGCATGAGAACGCACATGTAGCAAATTCCACCACTGGTATTTGTGTTGGTATTTTGGATCACAAAACTAAAAAAAAGGCCTCAAATTCATAAAAAGTTTGGGAACACCAACCTAGGAACAATGCCCAGGTGTTTTGGATTAACTCACTGCCAAGGCTGCCAGGATGCCCCACATTGCTCACAATGAACATTTCTTTTAGGGAGCTCCTCTGGAATGGCTGCTACTCCTAAATTCCAGAATCTGCTTTTCCTAGAACTACCCCAACCCTTCTCTCAGGAAGATAAAAAAGGATAAAATCACTGAACTTCAGTTTTAGTCTAACACATATCCAGAATTTATTACCCTGGTAAAATAAAATATACAGTAAGTAGAAATCTACCTCTTTCTTTCATAAGGAAGAATCAAAAGCAATTTAAATAAATCACAATGTCTGTTAATTAAATTTGATCAATTTAGATTCCTGGTTTAGGAATTCAAAATACCTACTTGGTGATCACATGCAGAGCAATTTAAGAATGAAAAGACCTCTTGGAATGTAACATTTTTGTTTGCTTTTATACCTTCTGTGATGACAATAAGATTCCCTCCCTTTAAAGTTGGATCTCCTCGTACCCCTTTACATATAAAATTATAAGCAGCTGCAACCCAAGAAAGGAATGAAAATACATTTTATTTTTCATTTAAACTAAAACTATCAGCCTGGAGAAACAGGGAGGCAGCACAGAAGATCATGCAGGAACGACAACAACTTTATCTACTGGTGCAAGGAACATTAAGTTTCAAAAAAACAACAGCTCTGGGGTGAAAGTTTAAATCTAGCAGTAAAAAAACCTTCAAACTGCATCTGAGAGCCAAGTAAAGTGCTCTACTTAAGCCCAAGTGCTTTAGTTTTCCAACTATATCCACTTAAGTCCTTGTGAAAACGTTAGAGATCAGAGATGATGGGAACACAACAAAAGCAGGGAAGTGTGCCACATCCAGAGTATGCACATCTCATCCAGGTGAAAAACCTTGGATGTTCAGTTTTTGAAAGATCCAGGTGAAAAGAACTGACTTTGTTCAGCTTCACCATAATATTCAATATCATTCATCAGACAGGAGGTATTTGTGAATCATGTTTTGGTATCATCTCCCTTGGATCACTGGGTGCACTCAAGTAGAAAAAAATGTCCAGCAGCAACTCAGAATTCAGGTCAGTTTTTACTTGCACTGAAATTAATTCCCACGTGAATTTCTGTGACTCAGTCTTGGCATATTATCAACCTCAAATCAACACACCCTGTGTTCTATGCAAGAAACCTGCATTTGCTTCAACTTCTGTAACAAAGGAGGCTAAATTGGCAATTCTTCCAGACAATTTTAAGCCAACATCCAAAGCTAATTTGTGCTCCCTGATTTCTCACCTTGGGTGTTAATCATTAAACCCATTCCAGGTAATTGGCTCAGGTTCCCAAGAAGTGATTTGTTAAACTTCAGCCAGTTCTGCACTGGATCTTGTCTCTGATCTATCAGCACGAAGCAGGCACCTGATTGCCTTCCTCCCAATTTCCTGGCCCCTGGAATCTGCACCACAGGTCAGAATTCCTGAGCTGATAAGGAGGGAGGAAAAGAGGTGGGAAAGGGACTACTTTTGTTAAATGATGATCCAACCACTGAGAACTGCAGGTATTTACTGTCAGGGAAAAAACAAACAAGAACAAACCCTAAACTTCCTTCTTTTGCCAAAATCTTTTAATCCCCATTAAAAACGATTGTCATAGTCAAGCATTATCCTTCCTTCTCACATTCAGTATCTTCTCCTAATACTCAAGATAGTATTCCATAAGTGCTGCTTTTTCTTCTTTTTTTCAGATCAGGACCCAACAGGTGAGAACTGTTTTTGCAGCTCTAGAGTCTCCAAGATGCTTATTGGCCCCATACAGATCTAGAATTTTAATGTTTAAATTCCATTTGCCTGCAATCCAAACATGGCAAGCACCCAATACTATCCTGCAAACCACTTAACACCAGGAGCCAAATGGGCAGCCCCTCTGTGATGGTTTAGAATATCATCCTACAACTCCATATGAATCCAAGCCAGGAAAGATAAGATGAAAAAATAGAGCCCTGGTATCCCTATGGAATCTAGATAGAAAATATGCTTTTAACTGTCAATTTAGAGGAACCACAGTGTGTCAAACCATTTTATTTTAAGTTGTTAAGAGTGGAATATTAATTCCAGCTCCTTGACCTCATTCAGAAATACATGGACTGTACACACACAGTACCTACATATGTGTGCATGTCCCAATATGCTGCAGAGGAGGCTGCAGCATTCCTACACTTAAGTTGTGCCATTATATTTTACCTTTT